CAGTGGATCTACGTGACCGTGCTCACGATGTCGCTGGTTGTGATGGTGCTGGTTTGCGGCAGTTGTTTGTGTGTGACGTGCTTTTTTTTCAAACGGGCGAATGAGCGATTCTGGAAAACAAAGAACGAGGAGATGAAACGCTGTTTGAGAGACACGCCAGCCTCACGCAGAGACGACAACGCCGAGTACATGCGGATGAAGACGAAGATGAGTGAGCAAGCCGATGAGATCGACCGCCTGAAAGAGAAGAACGAAGGGCAACGGAGTAAGATCGAAGAAAGAGCCAATCAGATAGTCGACATGCAGCCAGACATGGAGGAGCTGATGACGGATTTCGAGCAGCGCGGCAAGAGCTTAGCGGCATGCGACGAGAAGCTGACCAAGACCGAGAAGCTACTGCAGGACGCCAACGAGGAGCTTGGACTGTGTTACAAAAGGCTGTCGACGCTGAACGGTTCGAACGACAAGTTGGAGCGGCAGCTGAATAACACGAAGAACGAGTTACGGCAGATGACGCTGAGAGCTCGAGACGTGCCGGAGCCCAAACGAATGTGGTCGGCGAGCACTCAGTCACAGTGTACGTATCGACGAGATCTAGCCACGCCGAGGTTTCAGGAGATAAAGTCGATTCACGAGCCGACGGTGACCACGACGGACGAGTTCACGGCAGGTTCCCCTATCGGCGAGCTCAAGCGGTTCATGAACGGCGTGGTGATGGTCATCGTATGCGGGACCTACGATATTCAGGAGACCTGGGCACATTTCCCGACTCTGTAGTTGACACGGTGCAGGTTTTCTGATTTCTTGAGTTGGTTTAGGTATGGCAGCGCGTGTGTGATGTAGTATACTAAGGAAACGGGGCTTAAAGGCTTCTTTTCTTTCCCCTGTGTCAATGGCACAGAATATGTTCCAATGTAGTAGCTAAGCATGATGTAATGATTGCTAGCATGCACGTGTGTGTGTGTGTGTTGCTTGCTTGCTTGCGGTACATACTTGTGTGTAGGTGTGTGCGCGCCCGCTGCCTATTTTGACTCAAACTGATGCGTAGGGGCTCCTGAGCTGATATAAACTACGAGCGGATCTCATCGATGCCAATCTATTCAATCTCATATTTGGTTTGGAACTTCGTGTGTTCAAACTTCGGTGGTTCCGTTGAGTGCTACCGACACCGGGGCCGTCTTCGTTGTCTTGGTTGGAGATATTTTTGGCCGTCTTGGAGGCATCTTGGAGGCCATCTTGGCCGTCTTGGAGGCCATCTTGGGCGTCCTCGAGGCCTCTTAGGCCGTCTTGGGGCCCTCTTGGGGCCGTCATGGGGGCCCCTTGGGCCGTCCTGGAGCCATCTTGGAGGCGTCGTGGGCAATCTTGGGGCGACCTTGAGTGCCTCTTGGGCCGTCTTGGGCCGTCGGAAAGCCGAAAAGGCGCAAATGCCAAAATCTTTGAAACATTTAAGGGAGATCAATGATTTTGGTTTCCTCGGGCCTTCCTGGATGACCTCTTGGGGGTTTCTTGGGCCGTCTTGGAGGCCTCTTGGGAGCCTCTTGGGCCGTTTTGGGCCATCCTGAGGCCATCTTAGGCCGTCTTGGATGCATCTTGAGACGTCTTGGAGGCATTTTGGGCCATCTTGGCGGATTCGGTGGCCTCCCAGGTCCGTCTTGGAGGCCATATTGGGGATTTGGGACGCCTTGGAGAGCGCCAGGGACGTGTCTTGGCGCCGACAGAGCCTCGGGAAGAAGGGGTGGTGCATGCGGTTGGGTGCGAGTGGAGGGCGGGGGGGGGCCCCTTCGAAGACTACAGAAACCCTACCAGACAGCACTTGGCATTCTAGCACGCCTCAACGTGCCAGGAGGCACGGTGGCGGATATTCAGGAATCGTGTTTCCGCCTCGATGCAAGCTGCATATTTTGTCTGGACGGCCACGCTCCCTCGTAGGGAAAACTATTCTCAGCGTTCCAGCCGTCCCAGGTCACGAACGTGTGGCAGGGCCATAGGTTTCTCACAATTTCAGACATCCCAGGACGCGAACGTGTGGCAGGGCTGTTGTATTTTCACCATTCCAGCTTACCCAGGTCACGAACGTGTGGCAGGGCCGTATGACTCTCACCATTTCAGCCTTCCCAGTTGTCCCACAGGTCCCAGAGGTGTCTCGCAGGTACCACAAGTTCCACAGTTGTCGCAGGACCCACAGGTGTCGCAGGTCCCGCAGGTGTCACGCGCCCCACAGGTCTCGCATGTCCCACACGTCCGTCGTCGTCCGTCGTCGTCGTCGTCGTCGTCGTCGTCGTCGTCGTCCGTCGTCGTCGTCGTCGTCGTCGTCGTCGTCCGTCGTCGTCCGTCGTCGTCGTTGTCGTCTTCGTCGTCGTCGTCGTCGTCGTCGTCGTCGTCGTCCGTCGTCGTCGTCGTCGCCCAGGGCCGGTGCATCGACCACACGGTGTTCTTGGGGTCCGGGCCCGCTATTTGGGGCTCTGAGATTTCCCAGCGTGGCAAGGTGGCCCTCAGGGCGGCCCAAGATGGTCCCAAGAGAGCCCAAGATGCCCGTAAGACGGCCCGAGTGGCCCAGAGGCGGCCACGGGGGGTCCTGTCTGAGATTGGCCCGGAGGCTTCCAAGACGCCCCAAGAAGAGCGGTCGGCCCAAGAGGCCCCCAGGACCGCCCCAAGACGGCGCGGTAAGGGCCCCTCCGTAGGCATTTTGGCTCAAGCTCAAGGCTCGACGCAAAGCCTCGCCTAGAACTCAGCCGCGTGCCGAACAATTACCGCTTCCTTTAGCCCCTCGCGCGATGATGATCATGCAGGCGACGGCGTCAGTGTTGATGCTCCTGCTCCGCGGGTGCTCCACGCTCCACGTGGTCTCCAGCCTTTCGCAGATCCAGAGCTGGCAGTCCGTCAATTCGGCGACGAACTCCGGCAAGCTGGCCACGCCTCCGCTTATCGACAGCGAGGTGACGGTGACGACATTCGCGGGGATGCACGCGGCGATCGCCGCGCGGAACGGCTCGCTAGCGATCATCGTGGACGCTGACATCGCGGTGCAGAGCACGGACACTGTGTTGGACTGGTACAGCTGCGACACTCTGGTCATCAAGGCCTCCGAAGGCAACCACTTCACGATCGACGGCACAGGCCTTAATCTCAATTCTTTTTCGGCAATGTTCCTGAAATTTCATGGCGGCGATTTGTGGATCGAGGAGCTCACCTTCAAAGGCTTCACAGCGGAACGTGGCGTCTGCCTGATAAATTTCCACAATCATCGCGACTGTACGGATGCCAGCGTCGGTTCCCACGCGACCATCGTGCGCTCGGCTTTCAAAGATTCGAAAGCGTTGGAGGGGATGTTGCAATTCAATAACAGATATCTCAGGGCTCACCTCTGCGACTGCTTTTGGGACAATATCATGCCAGGTTGGCCTAGCCACGTGAAGGCGAATAATATCGGCCTCCTCACGTCCACATGCTCGGGCGGGGGGGTGAACATCTTACCCAATATGGGTCCCGAGTGCAGGGTTGGTAATGGGCCGTACTACCTCACCCCTCCAGGAGCGTCATATGATTGGAATCTGAATCGAGAGGAGACCTGTCGTGATTTTTTGCTGTGCAGCAGCGAGATGCCGATTGGTGGATCTCCGTCCGGCTACTGCCCGACCGCCACTTTCTCGCTCCGGAGTCAGGTTTCGGGCGTTACAGCGAAGGGGGACCCTCACTTGCAGAACATCCACGGGGAGAAATTCGACCTGATGAAGCCTGGTAGGCACGTCTTGCTCTACATTCCGAGGGCTGCCGCGGCTGATGCCACGCTGCTTCGCGTTTCGGCCGAGGCTCAGAAGTTGGGCCGACGATGCGAGGACATATACTTCCAAGAGTTGAACATCACGGGGAAGTGGGCAGAGACTCAGAAGCCCAACGGTTTCGTGTTCCGCGCGGCCGAGGCTGGCTGCAACCGCAACTCGAGCCGCATGAGGTTCGACCAGTTGGACCTCAAGGTCGTCCATGGATGCACATCGCAAGGCGTGGCCTACCTCAACTTCCATGTCAAGCACATCGGCCGCATCGGGCTGGTAATAGGAGGGCTGCTTGGGGAGGACGACCACACGGAAGAGGCGACGCCCTCCAACGCGTGCGTGCGCCAGATCAGTTTGGAAAGGATGTCATGATGAGCGGCCTAGTGGTGGAACGGCGGCTGGGAGATGCGCCTTATGCTTCGTATAGAAAGACTTCTCTTGTACATAACCAGCTGCCTGCGGCAAGACCCGCCACCGCGCCAGTCAGCATGCTCGGGGGCTCTCGTTTGAAGGGGCACCGGAGGCCGTACTCGCGAGGGACGAACAACATGATGACGATGATGATGGTACCGATGATGATGATGGTGATGATGATGATGATGATGATGATGATGATGATGATGATGATGATGATGATGATGTTTATGATGAATATCATGATGACGACGGTGGTGATAACTGATGATGATGTTCAATGTTTTTTTCAATGTTTTTGGCTTCTCGCGTTTTCGAGCTTCCAATGGTCCAACAGCGCCGAAGAGGCACCCACGACCGCCCCGAGACCACCCAAGATACCCTCAGGACGGCCCCAAGACGGGCCCAGAAGGCTCGGAGGAGGAGGAGGACTTCGGCATTGGGGGGGACACGCGACTTCTGGAGGTCTCTTGCCATCGAGGCACGGCCACCGACGTTGAGCCGGCCCTGGAGAAGGGGTCGGGAGCCAGAGGGCCCACGTATCGGCAAACATCACGACGTCGGAGGTCCGGATTTTTTCTTCGCGCGAGTCTGATGCTGTAGAGGCGCGGACCAACCCGCATGCCACAACGAGGGCACGTGCTCTAATTTTTGCCAGCGTGCGCCTCAACCAGTAGGTTCTGACCTTCTCGATTTGCTCCGCAATCGGCATGGTCGCTTAGGGTGCTGTCGGCGGCTTGTAGAGGGCGTCGCGACCGCATTTTGTGTGCCTTGCCCGTGCACGTTGCCTGTCTGGATGGAGAAAGGAGACGCATCAAGCCAAGAGGAGGAGGAGGAGGAGGAGGAGGAGGAGGCCACCCGTGCGCGCTACCAGTATCTGCTCCCAGCCCTCGCGCAGCGAGGATGGCCGCGTCGCCAGCCGCCTCGCCAGCGTCCTCGCCGGCGGCATGGTGGTGGGATGGCGGTCGTGCTCGTGCCCTCCCGTCCTTCGCTCTCGGCCTCTCCTCCTTCTTCCTCTCGGGGCGGTTTTGCTTCCGAGATTGGGGCTGGCGCGTCTCGAAAGACGCTGCGCGGTACTTGCCAGCTACTCCTGCAGTTGAGGGCGCGACGCCCTTGAATTTCGCTTTCTGCTACAATCTTCATCATCAGCCTCGTCATCGTCGTCACCATCACCGTTATCACCACCATCATCCATCATCAACGCCGTACCCTACATCATCCTCATCGCCATCATCCTCGTCCTCCTCGTCCTCTCCCGGCTCCTCCATTGCCCCCTCCCCCTCCTCGATCAGATTCGCTCATATACATATTCCCGTCCTCCCTCCTCGCTCTCCTCCTCCTCCCCCCGTGTTGCCTCCTCCCCCTAGCAGGATGTTCGCAGGAATCCAGAGAAGGGTAGCGGAGTCAACGCAGGAAGGGGAAGGAGTTAACTCAGCGGGGATTCTGCTTCAACTCCGGAAGGGGACGGGCTGGAGGAGAGCGTCAATTGCAGGATATGGGGAGGCTGGGTTAATTCAGGAAGGGGAGGGGAGTTAATTCTTGATGCTTCGCGTATCCCCACCAGTTCCGTAGCCTGGCTCAAGCCTGGCTCAAGCCCTTGGCTCAAGCCGCTCTGGCTCGAGGGAGCCCAGCCAGCTTGCGCCTGCCGGGCCTGCCCCCCTGTTCCTGGTCTGGCCGCCGACGAGGGCCTGGAGGGAGCCCCGCTCCTCCCTCCAGGCCCTCGTCCCCGGGCCATGGAGTCTCGCTCGGCGCGGCGGCGGCGGCTGCGACGTGCTGCCGCCGGTCGCGCCGCCGCCCGCGCCGCCGGCGCCGCTGGTGCCGCGTCGGCTGCGGGCGCCGGTGGCGCCGCGCCCGCGACCGGCGCCACGGGCGCCGCCGGCTTCGCGGCCGCTCCGTGCGCCTCGCCGCCTCCGGGCTGGCGCCTCGGGCTGCCGCGGCGGCCGCCGCCGCCGCCGGCGCCGCGGCCGCCGTGGCCGTCGCGGCGGCCGGCCGAGGCGAGGCCCGCCGCGCCGCCGGCGCTGTGGCGCGTGCTGCGGCGCTGGGGTCGGCCGCGGCGGCCGCGGCCGCCGCGAGCGCGGCGGCCGCCGCTGTGGCCGCCGCGGCCGCCAGTACGCCTGCCGAGGCCGGCGCCGCCGCCGCCGCCGCCGTCGCCGCCGCCGGCGGGCCGCTGGCGGCGGCCGCTGATCGTGTCGCCGGGGGCGGCGGCTGGCTGGCCGCGGCCGCGGGTTCCGCCGCGCCCGCCGCGGCGCCCGCAGCGGCCGCCGCCGCCGCCGCCGCCGCCGCCGCCGAGGTCCAGCCTGGGCTCGTGAACATGCTCGCCACGACGGGCGTCCCGAGGGTGCCCATCGGCAGCACCCTGCCGGACGACGAGACCAAGTCCCGCAAGCTAAACGCCGAGACCGCGAACGGAAGGCTGGCCATAATGGCGATCAGTGGGATGTTCCACCAGGACAGCCTCTCGAGCAGCGGGTGGGGCGACGGGGCGCTGTACACGGACTCCCCGCCGCGCGCCTTCGAGAGCAAGCTGGGCGTGCAAGCGCCAGTTGGCGTCTGGGACCCCGCAGGCTTCACGCAGGACGGTGACGCCGCGGCCCTCAGGAGGCGCCGCGAGACAGAGAGCAAGGATGCGCGCGTTAGCGTGCCCGCTACGAAGGGATACATCACGCCAGAGGTCGCTGGCAAGTCTCCTGGCGAGATCCCCCCTACGCTCGAGGTGAAGTTCGATGACAAGCTGAACGCCGAGTCCGCGAAATGAAGGCTGGCGATGATGGCGATCATCGGGATGTTCTACCACTCCCTGCGGTACTTTGGCTCCGACCATTTCGTATGGCAGCCGGGGAGGGGTGACGTCTTGTCTGGAGTTCATGAATGAGTCAGGTGTGGGCGGTTACTCCGGGTGGCGCCTATAGTGGACATGGCGGCAAAATTTGTACTATTCAGGGTGGCGCAAGTAATTCCTAGGGTGGTTGCGTCGTCCTGTGCGGTTTCGGCTGCACCAAACAATTACCCTAGTGTGGAGGGCTTGACTGACGTAGGCCGCTCCAGACACGAGCCTTCGTTCCTGTTCTCATTGCTTGGACTGGCTCGTGTTCGTCACGGGGCACGTGCTTTACGTCGGCACTATGCATTTTTCTTCGACAGCACTTACTTCGACAAGTGGAGGGGTGTGGTAATTCATTTTGTTGTTTCAGTTCTTGGGACACGACCTTTCTTGAGGTGCACATGCACGCGGAGTGCTTGGTGGCAGGCTAGACCGTGGCTGTTTGCGGGTGTTGGACTTCCTCTTCCTCTTCTTCTGGCTTCGGCTTTCGCGAGGGCTCACATGAGGTGGTGTGGCCTTGTCTGGTGGCAATCAGAGTGGCATCTACTAGTGTCTCACGGGGATCGAGAGCATGTTGGCTTACGGGCCCTTGTACTGATCATGTGTCGTGGGGGAACTGCTCCGCCGAGCGCGCTCGCGCAGGCTCACGCCGCGGTCCGAGCCATTGTCTCCGGAGTCCTTCTAGTGCACGTTCGCCTGGTGCACTTTTGCGTGATCCTTGGCAGTATCACGATTTGTTTCGGAATCTCGACAGCGTCCCACGAGGAGTACACTCTTGCTTTGCTTTGGATGTTCGCTGGTCTGTACTATTACTTGTACACGTTCTACGATATTACCTGTCCTTCTTCTGCTTCGTGCTCTACGGCTTGCTGTTCTGCATTTTTGTGGGCAACTTGCACCTCTTCATGGCGCCCGTGACGAGCCAAGCCTGGGGGGCGCAGGAGTTGCCCCTCAGGGACTGGCGGCCCCCGGAACGGGGCTTTGCTCACCGAGGGGCCCGTGGCCTGGGGCTTGCGATTTTTTCGGCCCTTCAGGTGTTGGCCACGTAGGCCTGTGCAACACACCTTCAACGGATGTTCTACCAGGATGGCCTCTCGAGCAGCACGTGGGGCGACTGGGCGCCGCACACGGACCCCCCGCTGCGCTCCTTCGGGAGCGAGCTGGACGTGCAGGCGCCAGTGTGCCTCTGGGGCCCTGCCGACCTCACGAAGGATGTCGACGCCGCGGCCTTCAAGAGACGCCGCGAGGCAGAGAGCAAGGATGGGCGGGTGAGCACGCTCGCCATGATGAGCTACAACGCGCCAAAGGCCGCTGGCAAGTCTCCTGGCGAGATTTTCCCGTCTTTCGAGGGGGAGTTCGAGGACGCCCCAAACGGTCTGGCCGCCCTCCCCACGGTGCCAGGACCAGGCTGGCTGCAGATCGTGGCGCATTGCCTCTACTGCGAGTCGGGCCCGTTTGGGTGCAACCCGGACCCCAGCGGCTCCGAGGTGGGCGTCGGAATGTCGTACCTCGGGGCCCTCAATGTGTACAAGGGGGACGACGCCGCGGACCCTGAGAAGATGAAGCGGTCCCTGAACGCGAGCTGGCCAACGGCCGCCTGGCCATGATGGCCATCATCGGGATGTTCCTCCAGGACGGCCTCATGGGCTCCGCCTGGAGCGACTGGGCGACCTGCGCGGATTCGCCGCTGCGCGCCTTCGAGAGCGAATGGGACCTGCAGCCGCCCGTCGGCTACTGGGACCCGCTCGGCCTTGCGAAGGACGTCGGTGCGGACGTCCTCCACAGGGGGAGGGGCACCGAGGTCAAGCACGTGTGGCGCAGGTTACGGCAGGGCCCTTGTAGGATACTGAGAGAGCTCGATCGAACCCTAGTGGCATTCTATCAGAGCCGGCGCCTAACGCGGGCGCTGGCGACAGGTGCACCGCCGGCGCCGTTAATGTCGTCGTCGTCGTCGTCGTCGTCGTCGTCGTCGTCGTCGTCGTCGGGTTCCCCCAGGGGGGGGGAGGTTCTGGACACCACCCCCGCTAATTTTGCAGAGGGGGGGAGGTCGGGGGAGGGGGAGGGGGGGGGGGGATCCGGAGCCCCCGAAATAATTTTCCCGAGGAGGGGGGGGGGGAAGTTCTGGACCCACCCCTCCACTAGTTTTGCCGAGGGTGTGGGTGAGGGGAGGGGGGAGGGAAGGGCGGCCCAAACCCCCCGCCCCCTTACGAATTGTCCCGGGAGGGGGAGGGAGGCCCAAACCCCCCAGGTTTTTCCCGGGGGCGGGGGGTTAGGGGGGGGGCTCGGGGGGGCAAGGGGCGCGTGGCCCCTGGTTTCGCGCGCACCACACGACGAACAACACCACATGAGCAACGCAAGAAAACGAAGTCAATTTCACACCAAACTTCAGAAGAAAGAAAAATCAGAAAATTACCAAAACAGATCAGACAAAAAAATCCATTGAGCGTGCGCCCGTAGCGAACGCCGAAAATTGAAACAATTTCGCCGGCATTGGCGCGCAAGCTGCCCGCGTACGGTCGTGCGCAGGCGCCCTCGTCTCCTATGCAGCGTGCCGCAGCGGCGGTCCAGATGAGCCACCGCGTAAGGTCGCTGCATCATCTCGCGCAAGACCATGTTTGATCGTCGCTCGCATGGATTCACGTGGCTTGTGCCATTCCGACGACCCCCAGTAGGAGCCAGAGCTGGCGGCGACTGCACCATATTGACGGTCTGGGAGGCATCCTGGGACCGTCCAGGAGGCATCTTGAAGCAATCTTGTGCCTCCTTGGAGCCATCTTGGCCGGCCTGGGGACATCTTGGAGGCCATTTTGGGCGGGCTCGGCCATCTTTGGAGGCGTTCAGGCCAATGGAGGGCTCAGTATACACAGCTCTCGTGATGGCCGGCGGGTTGGGTCGAAGCCCGAGGGGGCATTCTCTTCTATGCAAATAGTATTACAATAACGAAACATGTATTTCAAAAAAAAAAAAAAAAACTATAGATAATTATATGCTC